ACCCTCCAAATCTCATTCTATTCCAACAGACGATTCCATAATATTACAAAACTATCTACCAGCAGGGTGTATTGAATAATTCATCTCTCTATAGTTCCCATCTTGGCCTTTTGTTAAAAGTTTTCCCCCCTTTACGGATTTTTGAATGTGAAAGGAAGGGTTCATTCCTTCTTTCGAAGCCTTGCATTTAGGCTTTGCTTTGTAGCATAGATTCCTCTCTCCAAAAGAGCTTCAGTGCAGCAGAGATCTTTGGACTGAAGTTCATCTTCAAGTGTAAAAAAAAAAAAAGACTGTCACAAAACCGACAATGTTTTGTGTTACTTCAAAAAGGCAATCGTATTGTTTGCTTAGTTGAAGTAATTTTTCTCCCGAAATATTAACATATTCTGGGCACGACTTATTAAATTTTGCTCAAATAGACGATTGCATTATTTCATAATAGCGTATAAAAATGAATGTAAAAAAAAATGAAACAACCTAAAATAATTTATATTATAACAGCGTTGTTACTTGTTACCGGTTGCCAGAAAGGTCTGTTAACGTGCGAATAAGCGTGCCGAATTATCGCGAGAACCAGCGGGCAATGTTGAATTTATGGGCTGTAATTGATATTGATTGCCACATCGGTCATCTGTCAGTTACCGTTTTCAAGGGACCGTTTACTCAGCGTCAAATGAGTCTGTTGTACAAATAGATCAAGGCCTAAATACCATCCGTCAGAGCCAGTATAAATACACTAAATCAAATGACTAAATGACAGTTCAACAAGCAGAGAAATCGCAAGGACGCCGAGCACCGACACAAAAAGCATACACCGATTTAATGTGTAGAGAAGACCCCCAATAAACTCAAGGGCAAAGTTTATTTTGACAAGAAGTCTGCTTAAGATTAAAAGAAAATTAAAATGAATTACCTTTGTCACCCAGTATGCCGTCAATACTGTGCTTAGTTTTTTTCTCCCCACTGTCATCCTTTTTGTCACAGTCGTCCTCATCGTCTTTTTTGCCAAATCGCGCACGAAGAACCCGACTGATAGAACTTACTGGTGGGATAATTAAAAATAAATAAATAAAAGGACACAGTGAAAAAAATAAATATATTTGAGTAATAATAATAATAATAATAATAATAGGCCAAAAGGCTAATAATAATAAAGTAGGCTAAATAAATTATATCCGTAATTTATAATTAATATATAGGCTAGTTATTATAAAATAACAATAGTAATAATAAACGAATCAATACTTTTATTTTCAATTCAGTTTGTTCAAGAATATATACAAAATGATTGTGATAAAAATTACTCTGGAATTATGAGATAGGTGATGTGGACATGATAAAAAAAGGGGGGGCTTCTTACCAGATGAGGCCTCACCTGAGGGAACTGTACTTCTGTCACACACACCGTCCTTCAGCAGTTTATCCCGAATCTCCCAACTGAACATGCCGGGATTATCGCGCTTGTATTCTTCGATTCGTTTTTCCACGTCAGGTGTTGCCACCTGCTTTTGTGTTTGATTGAAAAGGCGAGAAAATGTACGAAGAGAAAAAATACGAAGAGAAAGAAAAAAATAGAAAGTATGGGTGAAAAGAAAAAAGACAGGAAAACAAATTTTAGTACATAATTGTACATATCCTTTTAATACGTACCAACTTTTCTTAAACGATTTAAAATGAAATAGGCTATTTCATTAGCTTTGCAAATAAAAATAATAGCTACAAAAACCCATCATGCATAATGATAATAAAAGAAATAAAAATAATAATAATAGGCTATACTTACTCTGGGTTTGCTTCCTCCTATTGCTCCAGGACGGATCGAGCCAGTTTCTTGATAC